CACTTACTATAAATATTTATTCATAATAATAATGCAATGTTCGAAATCGCTTTTTTCCCCAGGGAGGTTACCTCACTTACCACCCGTTGTCCATAGCAAGTTCCACTTCTACGGTAAAATCCACTTACCTCCTTAAAAACAATATACTAATAGTCTATTTACTATAGTGTTATGTTTAAAATTACGTAGTTATTGCAAGACAAAATTATGAGCAAATAAGTTCAAAGGAGGGGGTATTTTTCACATTTCTGTTAACTAATTACCTTGTGTACTAAATCATAAAATGACATCCATATGGAAATATCAGTATATCAAATATTGATAAAATCTTGCAAGTCGTTTCAAACCTATTTGAAAATAACAATTTGTATTGCCAGCTTGTCTTGATGCAACTTAGGATAGAGGGTAGTTTAGTAAAATCTGTTAATTTTGATTGAAGGAAATAGCTCAAGCTTTTTTTATACTTATAGGTATAATTTACAAAAAATTGATCTTTTTTTCTTACATATTTTTTTCTTCACGTAGACATGATTATAGAAACTTTTTTTTTATTTGTGGCACACAATCCGTCATTAAAATTTGGCCGAGTATTTAATTATACCTTATATAACGAGCGTTCAAATAAAAACGTGGTCAAGTTGGTTCTGAAAATTTGGACGTAGGGCGTAGCGTATAGCAAATGAACTTAAACGTCATCTGTCAAAGCGCTATATCGCCGCTATCAATTTGAATATTTTCGTTTTAAAAAGCGTTTAAAATGGTGTTTTCTCAAGAACAAAAAGTGTTTATCATAGAGGATCGAATTATAGACAAGATTCGTGAAATTAACAATACCCCGAGCATCTTAGAAAATGTCTTTAATTCTTTGAGGAACAGGTGTGAAAAGTGCTTGGAACAAGGAGGGGGACACTTTCAGCAGCTGCTTTAATTTATTGTTATAACAAGGAGGGGGACACTTTCCGCAGCTCCTTTAATTGTTTGTTATTGTTATCACGATTCTTTAAAATAAAGTTATATAGTCATTAACGTTATTGAAACTGACAGCTGCTATACAGCTCGTTGAGAAATGAGGTTAAGTTGGTCGCTATAAGCTACTCCCTACGTCCAATGTGTCAGAGCCAACTTCGACCACGTTTTTATTTGAACGCTCGTTATAAGAGTATTTCATACCAAAAATAACCGTTAGTCGGCTTTACCCCAACTGTAATCAGTGTTATTACGGCAGTAATCTTTGTTAACGAAATAATGAAACACCTGACTGAAGCCTGTCTAATGATGTGATGAGGTGATAATGAGCGCAGTGCTATTAATTCCGGAAATCTAGTTTGGAAACTTCAGTAAATAATTACCGCGCCGCAGTGTCTGCGGGGTATATGCTAACATACATTTGGATTTAGCAAAGTTGAAGGTGCAAAAGTTCGACGTTGAGTGTACTAGCAGGTTCTATTGTGCTCACGTCTAACTCTGGTAGCAGAGGATTAGCGGGTATCAAAGAAGTTAGCGATATATTCTGAATCCTGTATGTATCAGGCGTAATACGTAATCTGAAAAATCTGTTAAGCGGCTCGATTATACCGGGCGATTCGCCAGTCTTGTTACAAAATTTTGCAATAGGAAGTAGGTATAAATTTTGGAAAAAAATGTTAGATAAGCAACAGTCCGATATTCTTTTGTTTCGAAATTAAAGAGGATGTAAAATTTTAAATAAAAAGAATGAAATTTCTAATAAACAATCCACTAATTAATTTATAGATCATATTTCCATTTCAAATTGTTTTAAATTATTAAATGTAAAAATGATTTGGCATCAGATTTTAGTCCTTACAATTATGAAACGTAAATTTTTGTAAGATTTTGTAATAATCAATCAATATTAAGCCTTTTGATTTGTGAAAAATCATAAATAAAAAAGTTATGATCAATTTTATAACCGATAAGCACTGTTTTATTGCTATCAATAATATGTACATCAACTTTATCATAGGTATTATTTATTAATTTGTCCAATCAAATTACACTTGGAGAAAAAAAATAGTTACTTGGACTTTTATAAGTGGAAATGGTAAAATAAACCTAAAAAAATAAATGCGTGAGCAGGGGCAGAGGGTTGATTTGGGGGGTTAAAAAGTTGTGAAAAATTGTATCATTGGGATTTCTGGTAAAAGTTGGCGTTAAATAAAAAAATATCCAACGCAAAAGTTGTAGATCATACAAAAATCTACCACTTTTGTAGAGGTTACTTTTTAACATAACCTCAAACTTTCCGAGAAAAATGCGAAAAACAGGTTTTTTCTTATTTTTCGTTTTTTATTCCTCATTTCCGCAAAAATAATTTAATTTTGACGAAACTTAGTGAAAGTATACCTTTCTGTGTCTTAAATAATCACAAATTTTTTAGATAAAAAATCAAGAAATTCCCGAGATATTCATTTTTTTTTTTCGTTTTGACATATTAAATAAAAAATCTGTAATTACAGTTAAAAAACATGCTCAAAAATGCAAAAAAAATAAAAAATGACTTATAACAATGAATTTTTCAGTAATTGTTGATAATTTGTTAAAATTTAAAAAAATCTAAAACTGATTACACCATTTTTTTTTCTGATTTTTCGTTTTTATTTCTCATTTCCGCAAAAATAATTTAATTTTAACGAAACTTGATGAAAGTATACCTTTCTTTATCTTAAATAACCACAATTTTTTTTAGATAAAAGAAAATCAAGAAATTTCTGGGATATTCATATTTTTCGGCCTGAAACACTTTTTTTCAAAGAAAAGTTCTATTTAGAAAAATCGTCGTTATAAATTGTTTCGTTTTGACATACTTTTTGGTGAAATAAAAAAATCTGTAATCACAGTTCAAAAACATGCTCAAAAATGAAGAAAAATAAAAAATGACTGCAACAATAAATTTTTCAGTAATTGTTGATAATTTATATAAATTAAAAAACATTCAAACACTGATTACACCATTCAATTCTACGGAAAAAATTGCTATAAACATCTACGTCGAATTACAAATGCACAAATGATAAATTATCTCTGGATGATTCGAGATTTCAGCAATACAATGTACCTATTAACTGCAAAGTCTACTGTTGACGCGAAATCCGAAAACCCGAAATCTTGCAAATTCGTTTTATTTTTTTCTGGCATTATTTGAAAACGAATTTTAAAATAAATTGCATATTGCCACTTTTTTCGCTCTATCCAATGGCGTCAACATTTTTGTAATCTGACGTTTCGTCTTCGAGGGGCCATCATCAGATTAATTTTTTTAAATATGTCCCTGCTATTTTTATGATAAAATCTAGTCATTTTTAATTAAAAGTGTTTTTAGCTATCATTTAAAATCTTTCCTGAGTACGGCTCTGAACGCTTTCAAAATATCTATTGGAGGAAGTCATAACAATATAAAAGTCAATACGGCACGAAATGTCTATTTTTTTCAATCAATAATTTAAAAAGTTGTAGGTACCTAAGTAATAAAAAAATAATAGGAATTTATGAAATGTTTTATTATTTCTAATTAGTATTACTAATAGTAGAAAAAAAAATATGTTAGATATTGTGTGCGGTACTGTTATGACTTCATCGAATAGATATTTTGAAAGCGTTCAGAGCCGTACTCGGGAAAAATTTTAAATGATAGCTAAAACAAGCTAACATCCTCTAATTCAGAATTAAAAATGAGTTTAGATTTTGTCATAAAAACGACGTCATCGACGTATTAAAAAAATTAACCCGATGATGGTCCCTCGAAGACGTAACGTGAGATTGCAAAAATGTTGACGCCATTGTATAGAGCGAAAAAAGTGGCATTGTAAATATATAATTTATTTTAAAATTCATTTTCATATAAAGCCAGAAAAAATTAAACTATTTTGCAAAATTTCGGGTTTTTCTGGATAACTCCGGAACTACCCGGCATTTTAAAACTTTCTAAACGGCATGTTATTAGGTATAAAAAACACACTTTTTTCTAATTTGAGCCTACCCGTATCTCTTACCGTTTCCTAGATCCTAATGCTAAAATTTTTAAAAAAATAGGTACACTAATCGATCCTACGGAAAAAAATTATTTATTTTATTTATTTACTATTCGACTTATGTTTATAGCAATACTGTACAAACATAGAATTTTGAGTCAAACAATGAGACAGTTCTTTTTTAATTTTTTCCGTACAATTAAAATGGTGTAATCAGTTTTAGATTTTTTTAAATTTAAACAAATTATCAACAATTACTGAAAAATTCATTGTTACAAGTCATTTTTTATTTTTTTTTGCATTTTTGAGCATGTTTTTTAACTGTAATTACAGATTTTTTATTTCACCAAGAAGTATATGTCAAAACGAAAAAAAAATGAATATCTCGGGAATTTCTTGATTTTTTATCTAAAAAATTTGTGATTATTTAAGACACAGAAAGGTATACTTTCACTAAGTTTCGTCAAAATTAAATTATTTTTGCGGAAATGAGGAATAAAAAACGAAAAATAAGAAAAAAACCTGTTTTTCGCATTTTCTCGCAAATTTTGAGGTTATCTTAAAAAGTGGCCTCTACGAAAGTTGTAGAGTTTTGCATGATCTACAACTTTTATATTAGATATTTTTTTGTTTGACGTCAACTTTCGCCAGAAATCCCAATGATACAATTTTTCACAAATTTTCAACCCCCCAAATTAACCTTCCGCCATTCCTGATCACGCATTTTTTTTTTCGTTTATTATAAGCCCCTTTACCATTTCCACTTATAAAAGTCCAGGTAACAATTTTCTTTTTTTCCTCTAAATGGTTATTTCGATCGGTCTATAATAACCTTTCAACTTTTATGGTCCATTAAAAAGAAATGATAATCAGTCTATTTTGAAATGGCTACCTCTGAAATGTCATGTGAAAACAAAGTACAGTCCTGGAATGTACGATTTACTGCCGGACCATATAAGAGAATCACGTGTTCAGTTATTACCTATTTATGGATAAGCTGTAAATACTCACATTATTAAGTTTGAGCTTGGTCTTCATCTTGTCCGGCTTGTAGTGGCCGGAGAGCTGGTAGAGGACGGCCCTGGACCTGCGGCGCCCGTAGTTGGCGGGCGGCGCCTCCGGATCCAAGTTGCCGTTGGCGTCTGCAAGGAGGCAAGAGTCAGCACCGCGGAATCGAGCTCCAAGAACGGCCGCTGTGCACAATACACAATTCACTTGCGCACATCAGGTACACACAGTGCTAGACTAATCTATAAGATTCGACTAAGCTAACAGATATAAAAAAAAACAGACGAGTAGAGTATCGGTGCAGGTGTCCAGATGCAAAAATTGGATGTTCACTGCGTGAGCACACACACAAAAAAATATTTTTCTAAAACTTTTTAACGGAGTATGATACAGAGGGGTATTTTGACCCCTGTAGACGATGGAGCCATCAGAAATGCTCCATCACGTCAGAATTTTTCCCTAACCTCAAAAAAATTGCTTAAAATTAGTGAAAATTTCGATTTTTTGTTAAAACAATTAATATTTTGAAATTGAAATGTTAATAGGTCTGTTCTCTAAAATGGAGTAGAGTTATAGCTATTTTAAACCAATTTTGAGCATTATTAAAACGCCTATAACTCCTCAAAGATGCTTTTTAGAGAAAAAAGCGCAAATTTTTGACCCCTTTAATGTAAACCGTAAACTAATAAAAAGGAATATATCATAAATCCTAAACCTGGAAGCAACTTTATATTTTTTTAATCGCTGAAACAGGTCAATTAGTGAATAGAAATTGTCACTTTTCTGCAATATTTTCTATTTTTTTGAGCTACGTTTGACAGACCTATATCATTACAGATATTTTTTTTTAATAGGATGTTCTATATTTTATAGTATAAATAGTAGGGTTGCCCAAAAAAAAAAACGAATTTTTTTCTTTCGCGTCTCCTGTGCAAATAGTGAGTTTATCATATTTTTTATCAAAAAATTAGCTCAAAAAAAATTTTTTAGAGGTCGCTCAAGATTTTTTAAAATTTCCAAAATCGTCAAAAATAGATTTTTTTAATTTTTTTTCTCGTTATTTTATCATTTTCTATGTTGAAAAAATCTCGATTCTGAAAATTTCAAATCGATATTTTAATTTCTAAAGGTCACTCATAATTATTTTAACTTTAAAAGTAGTGTACCTAAAATGTATTCGAGTGACCTCTAAAAATAAACATCAACGAACTAATAATTTTTTTTATTTAATTTGATGAACAAAAGTATAGAAATAAATCACGAGACACTTCTCGAGGCAAAAACTACCGCACTGTGAGTATCGTGAATATCAAATATTTATAATTTTTTAATTTTTTAAAATTTAAGTGTCTCGTGATTTATTTCTATTCTTTTATTCATCAAATTCAATAAAAAAATATTAGTTCGTTGATATTTATTTTTAGTGGTCGCTCGAAAACATAGGTACACTAGGTACTTTGAAAGTTAAAATAATTATGAGTGACCTTTAGAAATTAAAATATCGATTTGAAACTTTCAGAATCGAGATTTTTTTCAACCTAGAAAATGTTAAAATAACGAGAAAAAAAATTTAAAAAGAAAATTAAATTTTTGACGATTTTGGAAATTTTTAAAAATCTTGAGCGACCTTAATTTCTATTTACTAATTGACCTGTTTCAGCGTTTTTTTTTAAATTTTAATTGGAAAAAAAATATGAATTTTGTTTCATCATTTTGGGACACAGTATATATCAATCCGAAATATATAATTTTTTAGGGAAAATTAGAATGCAGAAGATTTAGTGTTTGCATATAGACACCTAATGTATATCATGTTAAAGAAGTGTATTGTAAATATGTAAAGTCCATTTAAAAAATCTTAATACACAATCATTAAGGAATTTTATAAATATGTATATAAGAGGAAGACATTTACAGGTATATATGCAAGAAACATTTACATTGCCAATTTATTTAAATTAATGAATTAATTAATGTCTTGTAAGAAATATGTTGATTGATTAATGAATTTTTATTAATAAATCCTATCATTCTCCCAAATGTCAGGAATATTATAGAATAGTTTTAGCTATGGACAAAATTTGGTAGCATTAGTAAAGTTTCCAGTACATTGAGACTGATGATATGGTTCAAATTACATAATAATTGCTTCAGGTAATCAAAACCGCTTCTACCTATATCCTTCAAACCTTTAGCATGCATGTGTCGACTGATATTAATTCCCAAAATGAATAATGAACATATGTCGTGCCTAAATGTCAACTCAAGTTTGTAACAGAATTCAATAATAGATTAATTTGGCATCATCTGTACCTCATGCGTGTAGGAAATATGTTCATTAATAATTTTAAATGTGCCAGTTTTCTACTACAGCTAATAATAATAGTTTTAAATACGGTATGTTTCTACTCTTTTCTATTATTCAGTCACTTCAGCAACCAATCGGTGCCTGCTATATTAACTTAATCCAAAATAAACAAAACGGCAACAAAATTAATGCGTGAACAGTTTTAATTTAAACCGAATCCGATCCGATGCGAACGCTTACCAAGGGGCAGCCGAGATTAGTCTGCTGAAAAGCTGCTACTTCCAGTTGACTTCACACTTGGTATGATATGACGGGATGGTAAATGCATAAAAAACAAATTGCTACGTTAATCAGCGTTTTATTTTACTACATGTTTGTTTTAGTTTTCAGTTCGGTTCACGAGAAGATGTCTTGTGTAGTGTATTCATTTCAGTGTTTAATGACGGTACAGTATATTTTTGTGTTTTTATTTTCAAGTTCCTGTGTGACGTTATGAAAAAGCTTGTACACGAATCAAGAAATTAACGCCAGCAGCTGTTGAAGGTCACAATAGCTTGTCCAGCGGCGGGGTATGAAAATTACTAAAAAAAGATAAAAAAAACAGGTTTCGCGGCAGAATTTGAGAAATTTCAGAAAACAAACTTATGATAAGTGTTTCTAAAGGTCAAAGGTAGCCTCCGTAAAGATAATAGAACATTGATTTGAAAATAGACAAGAAAATAAGTATTGTTTCCTAACAAAGGCGGTATTTCTATGTAGACATCAGGAGATTCATTTTTAGGACGTATTGTTTTATCAAATTTACATTTTAAATTTCTTCCAGTGTTATTTCAAAAATTTACATGTTTTATAACGCTATAAAATCTTTCCAGAATGTTTAAATTCCAGTACAACAGAATAGTCTTTAGGGCATGCTGTTATTATCAGCTGCTACTGTTGCAGAACATATTAATCAAAAAGCGCACGCAATGTTTGCTATTTACGAAATAATTAAGCATCTTTCCGATTAATATAAGGCAGAGTTATAAAAAAATCCAATTATTATTCATGTACCAATAATTTCAAAAGATTTTTATTAAATTTAGAACCAAACATTCAATCAAAAAAACAACGAATTTTCTTGACAGACATATTTTCTTTGTAGATCAACAGATTTTGATACAGTAACAGAATGTTACTCCACGAAATAAAATTAATACATCCAGGCAAAGATCAGATTAATCCATCCAAGTCAAAAGTTAACGTGTTGTGCAATTTAGATGAGACCTAATAACATTGGTAACCGAGAACTTTGCTGGATTTGTATGTCACAAATAGACTTGAGACGACCTCCAACTTAAATAATCAGAATCTGAAGGGCACTAGTTCCCAAGTGGGCGTACAATTAAGAAAATTGAAACGAGTTATTTGCTTTAGAAAGGCAAATGGTTACAGAGTTTATCCGCAGTTTTGTCAGTTATTAGCTTTTGCTGAGTAGAAGTTTGTTGGGCGGTGGTAACGTATCCAAACGGAAACTTTGATAGCTGGGATTGATAGGAAGGGTAGAAGTAACCACACCCACAAATAATTTCTTGCGTAACTTTTTTTCTATCGCAAATGTGATCACACTTTAAGTAAATATTTACAGTCCTATGTTTAAACAGACAAACGTTAACTTTAATTTAAATGTCATTGTTTTGGAACAATTTTGAGCGCTATGGATGATCTGTTTTTTATGTATTTTATGTTGAAATAAACCTGTGCATATTTATAACCTGTTCGTTTACAAATTGGTAAATTATTCTAAAATTAATAGCCACACCGAATCCCTTTTTGTATCATTTCTGCTGAATAGAACGCAAAAGCATATTCCAGCTAATTTTCATAGTTAATTTATCCTTTTGATGTCGAATATTTAAATGTGGTAAATAAAACAAATATTTTTCTTTTAATTCGCTCTACATACGAAACACACCAACTTGTAACCAACTTTGTACACGCTAAATAAATGTTATTACAGTGGAATACCACGATTGCAATTCCATATTTGTTATGTAGATATATACTTGTGGCATTTTAATTTGAATTGGGGGCCGGTTACACTGCTAATAGAATTCTGGACTACGTATACGAGGTCTGTTCAGAAAATAACCAAACACTTTGAATTACGCAGTAACGGAGATATTTATTATTATATTCCACGTGGTCTCAATCGATTCCGAATCCGTTTTTAGTATTATCGTTGTTGCGATAGTGTTTACATTAGTTTTTCAAGTGTCAAAAATGGCTTACGTGTATAGCAATTTAGAGTTGATGGATATCGTTTTAATTTAAGGTGAAGCAAGGCGCAACATCTGTGTTATGGCGCAGCAAGGCAACATTTGTATTAGTTCGTAGAAGTTGGGTAAGATGGACGCAAATGTGTATACATGTTGGACAAAATTTTGAACAGTTGTTATAACAACAGGTATGTCAAATTAATCCTTTATTAATGTAATTATGTAGCAATGACAGAAACATAGATGTATCTATGTTCTCACTTTAGTAAATTGTAACATTTTTAAAGAGGGCTTGAATGAGAAATTAAAATCTTACAAGTGGTGTGCAGTAAATATTCCAATGAGAATTAGACACTGTCCTTTATACGTGGGAATAATGCCCACCATTTTTGTACAGACTGCAAATGTGTGACGTTCAATGCCATACCAATTTCAAAGAAAACAACTCAAGCGTGATGAAAATATGTAAGTGATAATAGCGAACAAACCGCCCTTTCGATGTACACGTTCCCAAACGCTGGATAATGAAAGTCATAGTCTAGTAGGCGGTGGTTTGATATGAAACAAAAGTATAGATTTTAAACACCCACCTACGTAGCAATATTGGCGTGTTTGCTTTACAGGGAAACGTGGAAAAGTTTTGAGATCACGATTATGTATTAATAAGAAAACTTTTCATAAGTTTATCCATAAAGCTTTACCTACTTTTGTTTCCTGTTATCAGTTTTACGTGTGCAAAAATAAAAGTTTTCAAAATTGCAATTAGTTAGAGTAGAGAATATCTTTCATGTCTTTTATATATACGGAGTGTTTTTCAAATAAGTACGTTCCTTCAAAGGGGTAATAGAGAATGCGAAATGAAAAAAATCAATAAGCAACGTGTGGTCTAAAATGTCATATTTTCAAACTAAAACAAATGTCAAAGACAAAATTTTTAATATCTTTATCCAGTCCAAATATTAACTTTAAAATATGTTTTTTAGGGGTTCCCAGTTAGAAAGTGTTGAAACACCGATGGGACTGAAATTAATTAAAAATAATAGAAATAAACTTACCAAGAATCGATTAATTATTATTATCGTAATTCTGCAAAAATTGCTTGAAATTATTTCCACGAGCTAATAAGCATGCGTCCGAAAACACGCCACACACGTATTTGAAACACCCATTTCATGTGCAATATTGCGGGTACTGCGGCTCAAGTTTTCCCCAACAAAGTGTAAAATATCTTCCTCCATATTTAAGACACGTTGCGCTCATTCTATCGATATCTCCTAGGTTTTGAACAGCGTTTTGCACTGTTGTTGTTTTTGGGAGTAACAACAAATCATATTTAAATAACATCCACACTCCCCATTACATTATATTAATACCATATCCGCTAATTCTTGAGTTTAACAAGGCATTTTGAAACTAAAGTCAATCTACAGTCAATGAGAACAAGTAAGACATGTCCGCGCCTGCACCGTGCAAATAACCACACTGAACTTGACCTAGTTATTGCATTGTAAACATTTGACAAGTTGATTAAGTGGGACGATGCAGGGTCGGGTAAGTTTCGCGTAATACTTATTAATTAACTTTCTGGAACACATAACCCTTGAAAACACATGTTGCTTAATGAAAATTATTTATTTTCACGTCTTCTACTACTCTTTTGAAAGATTATTTACTATATTTCATTTTTTAATTTGAACTTCGAAGATATTACATTTATTCTTTTTGAAAATGAACAAAGCCATCATCACCACTATTTATAATATTCGTGACCATTTTCTTCTTACTAGTTCAAACTAGTTTTTTCTTCTCTAACAATATACTGTGACATGCATATACCTGTAACAGTTATTTAAAATGTAAGTATTATTAAATATACCTATATTCAGTTATCTTCGCAAAAAAAATAGTTACAACTAATTAATTGCAAGTATATTCAAGGCAGTAGATCATCATCAAAACATTTCAAATAAGTGAACATTTGTTTGAACATGTTATAAGTTCTGAGTCAGATTGTATAAATGTTTGTAGTGTTCGATAAATAAATATTCTAAGAAAATATATTTTGAAGAGACGTGCAGTACAATAAATAGACACAACTAAAGCGTTAAGATATATACTGAGACGGTTCGAACTTAATTTTTTTTTACTTACCACTGTCATACAACTCGCATTCCGACATCTCCGCCATCTTCGTGTTGGTAATGTCCTTGTGTGAGGCGAGGTACAGCACCACTTCCCGTTTCTCATTTTTGATAGGCACGATGTCCAATAAACACCAGAATGGGGTTCCTGGAAAAAAAATCGAAAACGATAGTTATTTTTGTATCTAGATCGCGAAATGGTACTTTAGCGTTCAAGAATGGAAGTTATTTAAATACCTATCCATTCGAAAATGCAAAAGTATTTCGCGATTCGAGATGCAAACAATATTTTTTCGAAAACTGCAACAAAAAAAATATAAGTGTTATATACAACAATATAATTTATATTTGAAATCGTTTTTGAATCAGGACGGCTTAGGCGCGGTGACTATCACAACTTGATAAATAATAAAAATTAGTTGTTTGAAAAAGTAGTGTCAGAATTATATATTGTAATTCATATTCTAAGAATGTTTAATTTTTTTAATTTTAATTAAATTAAAGCGGCACAAAGTGCTATTTCACAATTAATCCTTAAAGAATAATCGAGACAGAAAAAAATTCAAAAAGTGTCCAATGCGGTATTCTTGTCATATTTCGAATATAAAATTAATAAAATTAAACCTTCGACTTTATGGTCAGTATATTCCATGTTAAAAAATACGCTGAATACCAAAAAAATTTAAATATCAGACAATTTCCAAAACTAATACCACATTTGAAAAGCAAATCAGTTGGATACCGTCCGAAAAAGTCCAAAATTCTAACGATTTCTACTAGAAAAGGTCATTCAAATTTATATAAACGATCTATTTAATTAATTTTGAACAACTTTTTAGGTCATTTTAATAATTGGTGTTTGTGGAGCTTTGAGAAGAGGAGCTACTAAAGATGATGATATAGAAGACAAAGATTCAATTATAATTATAAGAATTCCCGATTTCAAAACTCATCCCTATGGTTAAATTAATTTTGAAGGGTTAAAATAATTTTGAGAACATTTTTTTATTGAGAACTACTGTCTAAAACATTTCAAATAAAAAAAAAAATGCTAAAAGAAAAATTTTTTTCAAAAAATTCATTTTTATGGGGTGGTTTTACAAGGGAAGAAATAATCCAGAAGTAATTTTTTCTTCGACCTGCCCCAAATAAAAAAAAAGGTTCTACGTTACATAGAAGCTGAGATATTACAAATTTGACATTGTCAGTTTTTTCCTGGTTGAGAGGAAGATCCCCCCACCACCACACCCCGAAGGGCTACTGCCTCGTACCCTTAATTTGACTCTGAATTCATCAATTATGAGCAAATTCAATTAAAATTAGCAGGGCATAAAGTTTAAACCTTCACTTACAAAATGTTGAAATTTCAGGTCTTAATGTTTATAACAAATTGCTCTGTGATTTAAAAAAAAAATTGCTATCTCCGGACCTATTGGTTGTAGAAACTTATTTTTTTTGTCAGTTTGTAGGTTTTTTTACTAGCTTTCGAATGGTGTATATAACTTCTTTCAAATGTTAAAAACCGCGGAGTTATTGTATTTGTTTATTAGGGAAAAAAGTGCCTTCTATGTGGTAACAATTATATACAACTAAATTTGAAAATAAAAAAATTTCTTTTTAACTAGAGGATACTTGGTGTCCCTTCGAAGAAAATGAGCCCAAAAAGAATGTTTTAGTCATAACCCTGCCCCCGGAATAGTCATTTGAAAACGGGCCTTTTTTGCAAAAATGGGATAAATAAATGGAATTATGCAAAAACTATTTGACCGATCGAGCCCATCTTTTGCACATTTCTTAAGGATATAAAAACTCACATTTTGGGAAAGTTTGGTAAGATTTTATTAATTAATTAAAAAGTTATTAATAATTAAAGAAAAAGCACTTTTTCCGTTTAATTTTGCAATAACTTTTTTGTTTATAAAGCAATTTTAACTTATAAAGTCTCATTTTAAAGATGAGTTTCTCTAGATCAAATCGTGTGTTGAACTTTTTTGCTAAGATTAATAGTTTTTTTATAATAACGCGTAGAACGAAAAATGACGAATTTTTGACCTATCTGTTGATAAAAAACAATGACGCTATACTTTTTTCATGACCCATTTGATGAGACGCCTCTTGTATTATCATTCGATCCTCAAATATTGTGCTTTACGTCCGACAGTTACAACAAGTCGAAGATTTTTTGTGAAGTATGTCAGGGAAAAATGTGTTAACCAAGTGGTTGGCGTCAAAAAAATAAGGAATGTGTCAAAAGAAATAGCAATCTATCTCAATTTGCCACATCCGGAAACTTATACAGGGCACTTCTTAAGACGAACGCAGGGGCCGATATTACCACCATTAAATGACATGGGGGTGGCGTTCTAGTACGGTAGCGGAGACATATAGAAGATTCTATTCAAAATAAAATTTCAATCGCAAATAAATTCTTGCCATTTTCAGCAGAGCCTACGGAACTTGCCAATAATACAAGGTGCGCAGTAAACTTAAAAAATTACGGCAGCAGGCTTATAGAACACCCAGAACTAAAAGCTACGATAGCTGGGGCAGCACTGGATCTGGCATAAAAACTCACTGCAATATCGGCATTTTCAATTTACATGTAGTGCAAAATAAATTTTAATCGTCCTGTTTATAATACTGTTTTATGTTCAATTATTATTATTACTTAAAATGTATATTGTTTAATTAATAAAATCATAAATAAGTTTTGAAAAAAATGACAAATTATTTTGACATTTGTTTTATGTTCTAGAACGAGAAAGACTTTGGCGTTCTAGAACATAAAAGTATTCTGCAGCTAGGTGATGAAAAAGACTCACTTTGTCAACTAAAAATTTAACGTTAATGTCGACTTTTGACGACAGTTTTCGAAAAAAATATACAGGGTGTCGCGCTTACATATGGTACAAGCCTGTAACTTTGAAAAATTTATTTTTGGGAATGTAGGGTAAAAAACTCGACATCATGGAGTGCTCGTCTGAAGATGTATCGAATTTGATGAAACTTGGTGATAAGACTTTTTTAGGGATGCTGAATGAGAATGCGTAATCTGTTTTTTGGAAAAAAATCGCTAAGCTGTTTTGACGTCAAAAAAACGCGTCCTAGTTGACCGTGAATTGCATTAATAAATACAGCAGCATTACAGTTAGATAGAGTTTTTATCCTACATTCTAAAAAAAAAAATTTTGAAATCGGTCAAAAAACAAAGAAGCTACAGACTTGTATCACATTTAAGCGCGACACCCTGTATATATACATATTTTTATTTTGTAGGCTATCGAGTTTCATAATACAAAGCAGAGAATATTATTGAAAAGAATATAAAATATTTAAAATAGTTTAAAAATTTTTATTCAGAAAATTAAAAACAAATAATTAACAAATTGCCGCAACTACGGTTTTATGATCTAGTTAACCGGATTTTATGTTAAACTTAATGATGTCAACCAAATTTCACAAACATTTGTTATTAGTATAATATTTTTATAACCAAAACAATCCTTGATATTCCCTTCAATGTAAGATTTTTAAATGTTTCATGCAGGGCAATATTTGAGGTGCTCATTACCAATCTGATATCAGAGTCACGCTGATAAGTCATACCTGGATTTTAAATGCTGATTTGTCAATTTTGTGGGTTTTTTTTAGGCATTTTTTGATGTTAGAAAATTGTGGTGATTTGATGTTGCAATTCTGACATTCAGCAAATCAAAATACATGGGAATAATCTATTCTGGCCATTTGCACAAAACTATTTTTGATTTGTGGAGCTGTGTTATTAATCATTAAATGAAATGATTTACGGTTATTTATAGTTGGTTAAAAATAATTAAGGTTCCAGGCGTGGCCACAGCAAAATGTATAATTTTATTTCAACACAATAAAGTGTTTTTAAGAGAAGACGTAAAAATTATCATCATCATTACGCTTAGTTCACTACGCAACATCTGAAGTGTGAAAACAAAGGAATCATTAAAATAAACACAGGATAATATTTCTGTTGACAGTTAAGTAAAAAATTAAGAGTACTAATTAAAACATAATTATTGTAAGGTCTTTTTAGAATGGTTTCATAATATTCTCCAGTACTTTATTTGTAGAGTTTCCTAATTATACCCAATTAAATGGATTATAAATTACTAACAACAAATTAATTAACGCAAACAACTTGTCGCTTTGATATTCTTAGTTGAATTGTAATAAGTTGATAAGAAAAGTGGTGGTAAAATGTTTAATGGCATATTTAAAACCTCTTGAAAAGCAGCTCATTAAAAAATATATGGAAATTGTTACCGATGTTCTTATCAGGTGTTTTTCTCATGTAGACATAATGCGTCAACAGAGTTTGCAAAAAATCTATGCCACTTTTTGATTATTGGAATATACAGGGTCATTTAGTCATAATGTTATTTATTTTAAGGGAAGATGGGAAAAAACAGTAGAATACGAATACGAGATTAAAAAAATTCAAATCCATATTAACCCTGAAAAATACTTTTAAACCATTATTTCGTTCCTGACCTCTTACCCGCAAAGATTTATCGAGAGTGAATCTTGACCGACCGTAATCGGTAATTAACCTAGCTTTTAATACGTTTTTAATCCGTTGTCAACGAAGATATTTATTTAAATTTTAAATAAACAAGTATTATTTATTTATTAATAAAAACAAATATACAAGTATAATACTTGTTTTCCAATGCTAGGTTAGTATTTTTTTATTTTAGTATTTAGTATTTTAAATAGTGTCAACATTTTCATTATGTTTTAAATTAAATGCGAGTTTTTAGTATTACGTTGAATTAATTATTCAGTTGGTTAGTACATATACCTACCTTACTGTGTGACTTATTGCTTTTCAAAGAGTATTATGATACCTGCATATTTAAAATAACAGTACGACTAAAAAACACTCTCATAGGAATCCCCTGCACTTTGATTTTGAAATCAATTGCAAAATTCAAGATGACTGAGGAAATCAGCTGATTGGCTTCAACGTTCGAACACTCTGTGGTGCGCCGGCGCGTTCCCACTCAGCAAATGTGATGCAAAATAGGGCACCGAATTAACGGGAGTTAAGGGGTTATTTGCTTATTTTTTAAAAGATCGAGTCAATTTTTTTTCGATTTTCTCTCTTTATTAGGC